GAGAGAGAGAGAGACAGACGATGCGAAAGATAGACAGGAACAATTGTCAGCTGTCATTTTATTTTGCGGCGGAATCTTGAATTCAAGAAAGTATAACTTTTATCGCATCGCTTTGCGGAATTATTACACATTTTATTAATGACCGATTTTACGATTACTTGTAATAACTACTTGTATAAATTTTTCTAAAATAACTAAATTATTTTTATAAAATAAATATTATTTTTATAAAATAAATATTTAGTTATTTTCGAAAAATTGATACGTAGTTCTTTCGTTCATTTGCCGAATAGCGCAAATTCCTTTACACAAATTCAAGATACAGAATTGCGCGCGCGGAAATGTTACGCCAACACAATTTCAACGTGCTGTTGCGAAAAATTGAGAGAAATTACCTTTCCGGCGACGAAAGTAACGAAAGCCGAGTCGAGACACGTCGGACGGGGAGAAACAATGGGAAATATTCTGGGAATTTAAATGTACGTATAACCAGAGATACAGATAGACGGCGATGATAATAGCGAGCATCCTTTCACACTCGGAACAAGCGTGGTATACGCATAACTTGACATTGCAGACGCAATTCTTTCGGATGAATACTCGTAAATAAGCGGCATTTCTCCGTGAAGGCGGATATGGAAATGAATTGTTCTCGTTTCCAGTTGTAATATCCATCGGGACAAAAATCAACTCGGACTCTTTATATATTGGCTTTCGCAAAGAAAACTCGTTGGCGACAAATAATGATAAATATTTAATCGATCCTCTTTCTACCGTACTTTCTCTTTACGTGTCACATTAATAAAAGCGGAAATGGCCGAAATTAATGGAGATAAATAATCGCAATGAAATTCTTCTTCTCGAGACACAAATAGCTTAACGTAATTACAATCTCAACCAACCGAGATCAATTATGTACTCAATTGAAGTACCAAGGGAATTCGATTAAATAAAAAGTAGTGAGTGAAGTCGCGAGTGAAGTGAAAAATACACCGCTATTTATTATATTCTTTTATATTACAAGAAAAATTGTAATCTGAAAAAGGGTGAGGTAAAAGTTAACTGCTACTACAACCCAATCTTTACAAATGATCGCCATAAAGTTTGACACTAAACACGACGATGCCGTCAATCGATTTATGTCTTCAAAGAGGGATAAAAGCGGGGGGGAGGTAAATCGATTTTGGCTTTTGGCTCAAATTTTCGCGAGTGAAAAACGAGCTTTTTGCCATTTAATATAACGGTCGGTTCAAGCGATATTTCGTGATTATCACGTGAATATGATCAATGAGAGATCTCGATTATTATAATCGGACGTGTCGACAGTTCGTTATAAGCAATCGCTCTTATCCTTCGACGTGGCAGGTACGCCCTGTATATACTTGAGAGATTTTACTTAGACAGTTTACTTCTGAGAAGGCCAGGACACGTTCCGCTTGCGGAACCGTTTGCAATTCCAATTCGCGAAAGGGCATAATTGCGCAGCGCGTTCCGGAAATACGAGTGCCAATGCGCGACGCGTTGCAGATAACGAAGAACCACTTCCGAAGAACGGAAGAACGCCGTTAGAATTACGCTCGACATTTACATCTTTTAGGTCAACATCGCCTTCCCCAGGATGAGTTTCCATTTCTCCCTTCTCGCTGCAAATTGTTGTACCGTAGTTGCGCCAACCGGCTGCACCTGCGCCCGGCCTTATCATCGCCCACCGCGTCCCCGCTCTCTCCCCCCATCCCTCTCGTCTCTCGTTCATCCCTTTTTACTCGTCACCGACATAAGGGCCGACATAAGGGAATATCTAAAAAGGCATAAAGGGATATCTAAAATACCCGGAATACACTTCCGCTGAGACGCCTTTCGAGAAACAAGACCGTACCGCGCGTTCGGTGAACGCTCCTCCAGGAGTCCTTCTCTCCGTAACGTTCTTTTTACGTCCATTCCACCCGCGTCTTCCGTATATGTCGGTCGACGTTCGTCGGGAGTGCGGGAAGATTCGATCGAGCGCGAAGTCCATTCAGCCAATAATAATCGACGACGGACGGGAGATGTAATCAGCGGCTTTGAGAGCGTTAGCCTTTGCCGTTGCTCTTCGTTTCTTTGAAGGAGAGCCTGCCAGTCCACCGTGCTCGTAATCATTCTCGAATAATCGGACACGACGGACGACGCTAGGTTCCAGTTAAATTCCTTTTAGCCTCACACAGAGCTTTCCCTCAGTGCTCTTCCGCCTCTACCTTCTTCTGCGGGAAATATACGAGATATTCTCCGCGAGGTATTCGATAAATTTAATTTACGAAATCTTTCAGATTCAACAACGAACGAACGTTAACGAAAAATATCGGTTAATTTATTTTTATAGAAAATCATCAAACAATAATCGTAAAGATTAGAAACTAACTCGGTTTTGTTCTAATATTTTCTCTATAAATCCTAGTCCAGGAAGAAGAAAAAAATGACGAGAGGAGCCGATGAGCGGATGGCAGGAAATATGAGGAAATTTCACCAAAGTTCCTTTACGTATGACCCACTTTTGTCATGGCATTCGAGTAACCGCGATGACAGGATAAGACGAAAAACTTTTAATTACGCCAGACGACTTGGCAAATGTTCCCTGGTTCCTGCAACTCCCTTTTTCATCAATCCTTGCGAGGCGGCAACTCCTCTTGTCAAACCAACGGCAATTTGCACGCGACCGCTCCCTCATCCCTTCCTTCGGAGGAGGATCAAGACTTTCCTTCGGCTTTTAAACAAGTCTGTTATAGCAACTTTGTTAAGAAAGTTCCTTTAAAACACCGCCGGAAAGCAGATTATTTGCTAGTCGAGAGCACGGAGCAACTTTGATAGCTTGTAGTAAGTCGAGCTAATCAGTTCATAAATTGAGAGGCGCGCATGAATTAAGAAGCGAGAGATAATTAAAATCTCATATCGGATCATACTGAATATTTCAAATCTGATTAACAATAGAATGTTCCGTAGATTTAGTGGAGTTTCATTCGTGAATGCGCCGACTTTGCTTCGACTTGCTGCAATTTATTAAAGAAGCTTTACATTTTGGTCCAGATTCGTGTCAGTCGTTTGCCTTTTGTTTCAGTTGCTTGATGAAAGCTAAAGAATTCAATGAATTCCAAAAAAGATCAAATGTCAAATTTAAATATAAAATGACTATCGAGATTAAATATTTTATTTAAATGATGGTAATTGCAGCATTCATTTAAGTTGGAAAATTTTCTAAAAAATTAAAAAAATTAATCAAATTAATTTGATGACTAATTTTGATTAAAATCTCGATTATTTCTATTCTCTATTCTTAAGAGGAGAAAATGATAAAAATTTTTAACAGTTGTTATCGAATCGTATTAAACTAATTTTAATTATTAGATTTGTTTGAAGAGATTTATGCACTATTTCTCTTGAGATAATATCTTTAAATTATATCAATTCTTTTTATCAGCGCTATTTATCGATATTTATTCATATCATCTGTTTTCAGGTACCGGGGCCTTTAATCGTGCGATGCTCATGAACGTCGGTTACGTTGAGGCTTTAAAGGAAAGCACCTTCGATTGCTTCATCTTTCACGATGTTGACCTACTTCCAGAGGACGATAGAAATCTGTACACTTGTCCCGAGCAACCCAGACATATGTCAGTCGCAGTAGACAAATTCAAGTACAGGTAAAAATATAATTCCTTCACATGTGTCCGCAAAAAGTTAATTTTAAATAAATATGAATAAATATAAAATATAATTTAACATATAAAATTAACACATACATATAAAGATAATTTGACAATTTAAAGTGTAAGTATAAACAAAGGAAAAATAAAATTAAATTCAATAAAATTGATTGTAAATACGACTTCAAAATTTATCCTTCTTTTAGCCTTTTACATGAAATAAATCTATTTTTTTTAATTTTTTTATAAAGAAAATTGTTTAATGTTTCTTTGTGATTAATTTTTTAGACTACCTTATGCCGATCTCTTCGGCGGTGTATCCGCAATGTCACGCGAACACTTCCAGCTGGTCAACGGCTTTAGCAATGTCTTCTGGGGCTGGGGCGGCGAAGACGACGATATGGCGAATCGCATCAAGGCCCATGGCCTGCATATCTCGCGATATCCGGCAAATGTTGCGCGTTACAAAATGCTCACGCACAAGAAAGAGAAGGCTAATCCAAAGAGGTGAGCCGAAAAAATTTTTTTTTATTTAGAATAACTATTTTTCTTGGATTGCAATAGTTGATTAATATTTTTATGGCAGGTATGAATTCCTGAAGACAGGCAAGAAAAGATTCTCCACTGACGGATTGGCTAATCTACAGTACGAGCTAAGCGACAAACGAAAGCCGAAGCTGTATACATGGCTTTTAGTGAGACTGACTCCGCCGCAGCCCAGCTGATGGCTACCATGGCTCGGTTGAAGGCTCCTGCGCGCCAAGTTTACTCCTAATAAGGTCAATGCAGTCGTGTTGTGAAACCGCGTCCTTAGGGCTCACTATTCAGAAGAAGCAAGAACGAGAAACATTTCCGTAAAATTTGTTTACGAGAAAAAAATGTGAAGATGTTCTCTGAAGACACTCTTGGAAATGCTGGAATTCCAATTGATCGACGAAGAGACGAGATCCTGAATGCACCGGTCATTTTTATTCCTAACTAATCTAGCTGCGAACATCTCTAGTAATGCAAAAGTTATGTTATATAGCGCATTGAAGAAAAACGGAAAATCCGAATGAGAATAATAAATGACAAAAAATATTTTTTAAGATTTTGTTTAGCCTAAATTAAAAATTAATTTTATATATATGTATAGATGTATATACATATATTGATACGCTCTTTTTGTATATTCATAATTGTTGATTGGTGTTCTTCTGTCATGTTATTTTGAGATTGATCGTTCTTAATATTCTTTTTTTTCCGTTAAAAATAAGAAAACATTAGTAAAACGAAGGGCTAAATTTAAATATGTCATTTACATACTGCATTATTCGAGAGAAACCCTAAAATGAATAATTACTGGGAATTTGACATACAGAGAGTGTATTAAATCAATGAGAAGCTAAATCGAATATAACAGTGAATAGGGATTAGGAAGAGAGAAAGCTGTGCTTTCATGTCGGGGATTCGCCGCTGCGTGAGGGTCTCGTCTTCAGTTTTCCCGTCCTCTCACAGAGGGGACGTTGTTACGTGATATATTTTTATTCCTCATATTTTTTTATCGCGATGATAGGTTAGAGAGCGTGTAGAGAATAGCATATGAGCTGACGTGCCAAAGGAGAATACATGTGTAGATGTGTGTACATGTGTGCGTGTGCTGTGCGAAAAAAAAATAGAGAGAAAAAACAGGAAGAGGACGAACAAGCTTCAATATCCTTCTTAGAGCCACGGTATTAAATACGCAAAATAAGCTGCCATTGCTCGAGGAGACTTTGGAGAGTCTCCGCTTTTACGGTTTATATGCCGTATTCAAGAATTACTGTGCACGATAAAGCCTTGTTAGCGAACAGAAAGGAATAACCAAGCAGTGAAGATCTGAGAGATCGTACGATTATCTTTTAATAATAAGTCAGCCATAATCCAGTCCTTTTGAATTTCAGCTCGATCCAAAAATTAACGCAGTTAACTTCTAACACTTCCTCTATGGAGAAACTATCCTACGGTACTAAAAATAGAAAGTGATTTGTAGGGTGCGTAATGAAAGGATATATAATGTCGCGGGTAAAGTTTCTTATAGGGCTAATCATGTACGATATGTAATATGAGAGGGTTCAAATCATTTTTCAAGGTTGCATATTGCTCGTTATACTTTGATCTCGAATGTACTCTAAGTTTGTAATTCGAACTCTTATGATGATATCGGAGCTTATTTTTTTACGAAACTAAATTATCGGTTGGCTCTGTTACGAGGCTCTGTTACGAGGAGGATTGATTTTTCTGATGAATATCAGCACGAGCGACTGTGTGAAACGAAGAAAAGTACTTAATTAATTATTGTTTGACAGTAAATCATCAAGTGTTCACAAGATTTTGCACGCTGTCTGCGTATATTTAGATTCGAAAGAGAAATATAATTTTTTCACTTTAACATAAAAGATACAAATGTTTCCATATACATTTTCTTGTACATTTGTGAAATAAGAAACTTTTCCATAGATCGATTTTCAAATTTAGTTGCATTAACATCAATTAACATTTTGAAAAGAATTTCTAAGGCTAATTTTTGTATATCTATCGCTTTATTTCTTTATCGAGAATGAAGACTGGAAAAGAATCTTAAAAATAATTGAAAAATTGTTAATGAGAAAAGGAACTTTTAATTAGTAGTAACTGATCCAATTTGTCTAAAGCTAACTTTTAATTACATAATTATTTACATGATATTATACTTGCTGTTTAATGCAGATAAATAGTTCAATTTAAATATACGCAAGCAGAAGCTTTAAAAATAAACGATAATGAATGCAGTCAAGACTTAGGATACAATAACATATCACGTCTTGTCATAGAACATAATGATACATATGAAATTTCACTGTGCTGTGGACGAGCATACTTAAGCGTTAGGCGCAAGCGAGAGCACGGGCTGTGAATAATGCATCTTTCTGCGGCTGAACGAATTATAAAAAGGAACAGAACAATAATCCAACTCATCATGGCAACGAGTGATATAATTAACTTCTTTTTCTTTTTTTTTTGCATCATGCGATAAACAGCCAATCGATATCTTGTCCCTGTCACTTCAGGACTGTTTGAACTCATCCAGTGACTTTTTAATTTTTGGCTTATCACTTTGCGTTTTACGGTTTTTGACCAGCTGTTCTTGAAATCTTAAGCTCTTCCATTACTGTTAATATCAAGGATCCATAGTCATGCATTATTTATTTATTTATTAATGAAGTGCAGCTAGAATCCGATTATAAAATATCGATAAGCTTATATTTAGTTAATTTAGTTTACTACTCGCTTTTCGTGTATGAGCAAGAAAATCAATAAATGTGAAGTGATAAGCGCTATAATTGCTTGGTAAAGAATCAACTGATGTTCGCATTATACAAGGTGGTATATTTGTGAGAATTTCGATTAAGACTTGTATGGAATACGCGGGAAATGTATTAGGTGTGCGCTTGGTGCGTTCCTTTTATTGCCATTCCTGTGAACATTCCAATGTTATCTAAGCTGAATGTAGATTATCAATTCGTACGTTCCGTTGTCATTTTCACACAATCTTTATTTTCCTCAGATTTCCTCAACATTTTTAAGATGTTTAAAAATGACTAATATTTCTACCTAATAAATAGCAAGAAATGTAATAATTTTCATAGTTAAAAGATGATTCAAAGATATTCAAGAAATGCAGACAAGAAAGATTTAAAAGAAAATAAAATTATGATAATAGTAATTATCATAATTTCAGCAAATATAATAAATAAAAAATGTCACAAAACTGCATTTGTCTAATCTGGCTCGTCAAATATAAAATTTATATTTAATATGGAAATAACACAAAATTTTTATAAAAGTAGAATGGAAAAATGCAGAAATAAATTACAAATGATTTTGTATCCTAGCGAGAAAAACATAATTAAGGATAAAATAATTTGTGAAAGCGTAATTTTATAACATGCGAACTATTAAAGGTCTGAGGAAAATAATTTATAAAAAGCTTGCAAAACTTTTAGCTAAATTTGCTTTTAGAGTTGTGAATATTATCTTAAATATTATTTGGTATACACGGATTATTAATTAATTTTGCTACCATTAAGCTGAAAGCGGAGCGAACGTTCGAAGAAAAAAACTGAAAAATAATATTTCAGTGTAGCTTAAGAAAAAATATTGTATTATATATTACTATTGTTATTTGAATAATCGGAAATATCTAGGATAAGTTAGGATTAGGAGGGAAAGAAAATATTCAATGTGCGCCGCAAAAGGAGTATAAGTTACAGTTTTTAAGAGATATTAAATTGCATCAACATTAATCAAAATTATAAAGTATTATTAACTATGATATATGTAAATTTTTCATTTCTTTATCTACATTGTTTATGCATTCGAGAATATTCTATTTTTATATCTATTGCAACGAACATATTCAATTAAATCATATGTAATAATAATTATTAATTCATTAGAATTATCCAATATTGTAAAAAAAATTGAATTTCATTATTGTTAAATTTAACTTATATTTTTCCGGAGCAATATGTATTGCATAAAAACGATCCAGTCGCGATGTAATATAAAAGGTATTTTGCTTCTCGGGATATTTCATGTAATCGAGATAAGGATTTCTGAAGATATGATCGGATTTATTTATGCGGGACTGTATACCCCATGAATACCCCAGGCAAATTTGGTGCACCGATTGCCGTACGAGAACTTCGCAGGACTACATCCTGCTCCTTGCATTTTCGTGACTTAGAGAGCTTCCGTCGAAGAGACGAGATTTTTATACGTACTATTGTACATCATGCACATGGATTTCTGCGCGCATACGGAATGTAATGTCTAGAAAATTTATTTATATACTGAGAAAGAAAAGACGAGAGAGAAATTATTTCGCGACGAGGCAATCGCGAGAGTTATGTAATTTTTACGATCAATTTATTATTACCGTATAGCTATTGTTGCGCTAGGTTGATAAGAAATTATTTGGAGCGTGGAGTGCAATTATTTTTTAATACACCCATCGTTATCGCGAAGTGCGGTTCTCGTGCGGCGTGTGTCGATTGTTAAACGTCAATCTCAGATAAAATGAATAATTGAATATAAGCACCTTATAAAAGAAAAAAATAATCGCTAAGTATTTATATGAGAAGATAAATAATAAAGAGAAAGAGAGAGAGAAAGAGAGAGTGAGTGAAACGACAAGGCGCCCAGGCATAATATAATTACGATGTGTAATATGTTATATTATACACGCGATATATTCCGTCGCTAATTAGAAGAGTCAGGGAGTTTTCAAAGCGCGGACACGAGGATTTTATATATTACTAATAGTAAGTTGTCAACGCGAGATGAAAAGATATATTCTACGAATATTCTGAGAAATGATCAAACACACATAATTACAAATTTTCCAAACGCAATGAATTTAAAAATTTGTCGGAATATTTTTTGAACTTTTGAGATTATAATATCTTTCAAAAATTTCCATAGTATTCTCAAATATTTTCATGAACGTGCTATCTATCTTAAGACGAGAATATTTTCTCGATAATCGGCTTATCTCGTGTCATTGGTTTGATTAATATCTCCCTAAAAAGAAATAACTAAAGTAACTTAAGAGAAAAGGACATACTTTAAAAGTAGATATCTGATTTTTATAAAAGTAGAAAAAGGTTGCGAAAATCAATGAAGATATATATATATACAAATCGGCCAAGAGAAAATTATTTAAAAATAATACGAATACACATACACAACACAGATTAGAGATTGTCCTCGTGTACGTAATACTTGCTTCTTCTCAATTTATCAGAATGTTTGGAAGACTATTCCTTTTCACAAGTTACATTCGCGATGTATTGAAACAATAAATTTCCGTTAAAGCACATTTTTCTTTCTCTGCTTTTAATACCATATTATTTTATCCTTTTTCAACGAACACTTCTCTACTCCGATGACTTCTGCTCATTGTATTAGCTTGTGACAATAAAGCAAAACCCTTCATCATAATTTTTTTATAATTCTGAATGTAAAATAAAATTATCGATATCGATGGGATTTAATTATTGCAAAATAAAATAAATTGATGTCTTTGGATTCATCTTGAGAATTGCGAAGAGGATTTTTTTCTAAGTGCTGGGATAAATCGTCAGGAGATGCACACATGTCGGATATGCATATATATATTTGATTCGTGCTTATGAACTACGAATATTTAGCACAAAAATTTAACATTCCCATGATAATAGGATGTAATGATAAAGTGCGATTTACGCGCAGCTACGTAAAATTATCTTCACATATTTTACCTACTTTGAGATGATTATTTATCAGCGCACATATTTGAACATTCGAGTCCGAGATTTACATTGCCATATCGGCCCATGATAAAATAACGTATAAGCCGAAGCATTTTTTAATTCCTTTTTGATCATAAATGTTCTTATTGGAATTCAAGCTTTAAATTTTTCAATTAATGATGAACAATAAAAAAAATCTTGAAACTTTAATATTTATAACAGATAATATTTATAACAGATTTTCAATGTCTATATTAGAAAAACTTTTTAAATAATATATAAATAATAATATTTCCTAATAATGTTTCTTAATAATAATAAATTATAAGAATATTCAATAAAAGATTTGACCATAAAATTTAGTTCCCTCTATATTAAAAAAAGTAATAAATATTCGAAATTCTTGGTCAAAAAGACATTAATGTATGAAAGAATGAGCTTTCTATCTGTTCTATGCATCATCTCGAGATAAATTCTGCAAATCTATGAAAACTGTCCATCAGAATAACTATCTTAAAATCGATATAATGTGACCCAACAATCTAGAAATGCTGCTCTTCGATATAATATTGACTAAAGGACAATAAGTTGTCATACAATATATTATGCCTGTTATCTTCTTCAAAATCGAACTTTAGCTTTTTGCAACTTATTTACGAGAATAATAAAAAATGAAGATCTAATACTACCCATTGAGATACGTCCATTACGCGCAAATATATCTAAAACCAGAATACAATATATTTACGATTTAACAATCGATAAATTAAATATCAATATAGTTAACGCTAAATCATGTAAACGTTCCTCGATTATTAGCGGCATTATTACGCCCTATCAGCTATTATGCTCACGTATTTATTCGTAACACATACATCAACACATTCATGTTTAATATATAATACGCAGTATTGTGGTATTTCAATCGCTATCGCTCACCATTGATATCATCAATGAAATCTTCATCGAAGCCCATTTAGCAAATTTAATCCCTTCAGAATATGAAAAGATTCGATACAACATATGAATTAATTGCAAATTATGTGCTATAATGCATCGAGGAATAAACGTGGGTTTCACGATAGTTTTTTAAATAACTATACGTCTACACCATTTTTACGAGAAAACTTTAACGAACTTCAACTAAGAAATAGTCCAGCTATTCAATCAATGGCTCGACTATCAACAATTATGTAAAAAATCATTTCTATCCAGTATCATAATAGGGAATCGATCTACGAAACCTGGCGTTTTTTCTCAATTTTTTAAAAATTCATTTTCCTTTTTTTTACCATAGTATGTTTTCAATAAAAATAACAAATATATATTAACTCTGGAATACGCATTTTATGTGATTAAAATTGATTCGAAAATTGTTCCAAAACAATTTACTCAAGTATTGCATTGCGTAGATATTCGTGTATGTAAAACATTCGAAATATATACGAGATTAAAATATGGCAGCAATATTTTTCGATTTGGACGGGATACATTTTTGATACAAGGCTCGGAGCACGCTAGCGAGATTATTTACTCGTCGAAATTGTCTCGTCGATTGAAAATTTTGATGCAAAGGATTAATTTTATATTCATGATTCGAGATTAAAAAACTATTTTAACTATTCAAAAAAAAACATTTAAAAAAAGTTATAGATTAAATATCAAGTAAAATAAAAATAAAATAATTCATAAAAAAACAATAAGTAGCCTCTTACGCAACTCAATTCTTATTATAGTATTATTTATTTTATAATAATTTTTATCAACTTTTTGCTTTATATACAAATATTCAATCATTATTCTCATTAATTTATAAATAAAAAATTTAGTTTGCTTAATATTATATGATAAGAATCTATCTGATTATTACATCATTATCACTTTATTTCTCCGATGAACCTTGAACCGAAAATTCATCTTATATATTGAGCTTATGGGCTCTCAGAAAATGTTACATAACATTAGTTTGAATCTACTTTCCAGAGTTAATACCATTAAAAAGATAAAAAGTAACGAATGTCTTGGCACTCATATTCTCATCTAGTAATGTTGTGCGATATGTACGTGTAAAGTAATTGGCACGAGTATATTTATATATACGCATTATACAAAATCCATTAGAAATTGATCCCACCCCGATTATTACTATTTCTCTACTGCGGGTTGGTCCTCTTTAAAAAGAAACCATCACTATTATCATCATCATCATCATCATATATTGATAGAAATCACCCGCAAACATTCCGCAATGCATCTCCAACGAATACAGGAAACTCCGTTTTAGGAAACTCGGATTTAATGTAGCTTCGTTAAGATTACATCACGAAAATAGACACCGCTAGATCAGTATCCCCGACTGTCTCTCTTCAACGTTCGATAAAACTATGAATAATCGGCGAAGATCACCGCTTCTCCGAATCTTAAAATTGCGACTGGGAGCTGCCAGGACAGTTCGACGAGGGGTCTAATGATTGCCGTTGGTCTTTTTCGATTGGCCGTTGTCCGAGAGATGTTTCCAGAGGCCTGTGATTAACGGCACGTCCCTGAAGCTATCGGCCGCTGGCTATCCTGCCTGCTACGAACATATCAGATCGACCGACCTGGATTCGCCCCAGGCGTTTTGCATCTTGAAACCGGCGCTCGGTCGGGGCACCACCCCGGCTCGATGGTGAGCTGGAGTGGACGCTGTCGTGTGATGCCTAAGCGTGGTCATAGGAATACTGTTATTGCTTGCCGCGCCTTTTTTTTGACTCTTCTTTACATCCGAATCCTCCTCGAAGCAAACCTAAAAGAAACGGGCTCGTGTTACTTTATTATTTTAATGAATTTTTCCTCTATTTTTCTCTATATACTTTATTAAAATGGAAAATTGTAAATTAAAAGTAAATTTAACTGTAGTTCTTTTCTAAATATAAAATCTTTTTTTCTGAAATTTTTCAATTTTTTTTTTAGAAATATAAAAGAAATTTGTTAGAAAAAAATAAGAGAAATAAATAATGAATGAGCATTTTTGCTATAAGAATATATTCTAGAATATATTATAGATTAAAAACATGTAAATCAATTTAAAATTTAAAATATTACATTATATATAAACATATATTCAAATCTTCTGAGAATCATCTAATTTGAAAAATCGCGAATAAAATATTTTTTGAGGTGCAAATATCCGAAATATACGTGTATGTTTGACATTTTCTTTCTCAAAGAATTTTGATATATAAATTAAGTTACTGTATCTCTTTTTTAATATTTTAATTTCGCTTCAAATATTCTCTTTTTACGAAGGAGCAGCTTCTTACATAGATCAATAGAATATACACCTAGCAACATGACGTAGAGTAACTGTCAAGGAGGTGTAGTAAACCCGGAAGGGATCAAACGTCGTGGGATTATAGTATCGCTTTGGTCGATCGGTCGATTTTTGTTGATCGACGACGACGATGCATCAAAGAGAAATTCTCAGCGTTTCATCACTCACCCATGAATTTCCCGTCGGTTTCGGATCGTTTGACAAATCAATTAAAAGATTTTTCTGGCTGTCGTTACGCCGCTGTTGGCCATTTTGCTTGTTTTGCTCATTAATCTTGCCGGTGGTAGTCTTAGTCTCACTGGCACTCTTCTTCTCATTGTTATCTGCAATTAAAGGTACATATCAGATAATTAGATAACACTAAACCGGAAACGTGTCCTGAAATTAATCTGCTATTTGTGGATAAATATAGTAATACGGAAAATAGATGGAAAAATAGATTTGCAGGTAAATATTATTTATTTCGTAGAACATTGAGATACTTTAAATAATTCATAGTTATTCTATTTATATTTTGCAGAAATCTTAATTCGTATAAAAGTGCTTTACTTGTATTATTAGTAACATTTAAAATTATATTTAAGATTTTATAAATCGTCTCGAAGGCTGCATTTCTAGAAAAGTAGTAGGTTTTAAACAGAAAAATAGAGATGATTTGTATAACAATTTTGAAGTATTATATGCGTTTAAAAAATTATTAAATTTTTATTTTTATATTGCGGCCAGGAAGATTGAAAATACGAATTTAATTTTCCCGAGTAATTTTCCCGATATAAAAGAAAAATATTTCCAAAACGAAACGCCATACAAATTTTCTTGAAGTTGCATGTTCAAATATTTGATATGCAGAAGCGAAACATTTCCATGCGATATCCATAAAATGAAATCCTTAAAAAAAGGTGATTTAAAAATCAAACCAATTTTGCGATAAATCAAGAATCAAATCGATCGCTTGTGAAAACATCCGTTCAATCTGTCCCTTCCGCGTAAACTTTGATATTTCAAAAGCGATAAGAAATAAGCAATACCAATGTGAAAAATATCGAATAAAAATAAGAAATTTCAACTTCCAAATAGAATTATTTATATGGTTCTCATCGCGAAAGTTTCTTGTTTAATTATAATAAAAAGAAAAATATGATATTAAATAAATGCAAAACTACGTGAATTAGAATTAAATTTATCATTAT